GAGAGAGAGAGAGAGAGAGAGAGAGGGAGAGAGAGAAGAGAGAGAGAGGAGAGAGAGGGAGAGAGAGCAAGAGGGGGGAGAGAGAGAGCGAGAGAGAGAGATCGGGAGAGAGGGGGAGAGAAAGAGAGAGAGGGAGAGAGAGGGGGAGAGAGGGGGAGAGAGAGAGAGGGAGAGAGAAAGAGGGAGAGAGAGAGGAGAGAGAAGGAGAGAAAGAGGGAGAGAGAGAGAGAGGAGAGAGAGGGAGAGAGAGACAGAGAGAGGGGGGGGAGAGAGAGACCCCTGACTAGTTTGCAGGAAGGAGCAGGAGAACACAGGGAGAAAAATGAAACCCAGGTACCAGGAAAGAGAACAGAAATCTGCTCTGGACTGGAAAGAAATATCTAGCTTTATTGTTTCCTGTAATGGATTAGGATAAAAAATGAAAAAGACTTGCCAGATTGGAAATAAAGGCATTTACAAAATCTCTGAAACAGAGGGGAAGCAATTTAGAGGCTGAAACTAAGAAATTACACTTATAAACCTGGGAAGGAGTCTTAGGTTGGAGGCTCAGGGATGTCACTGCCCCAGGTGGGAGGTGGACACCGGCTCTATTCCTCCTAACACTCTCGGCATATCTGAGTTTCAGGACAAAGAAGGTTCCAGATTCGGAGTCTGACCCATGACTCAGGTCCCATTTCCAGACATCTTCAGGTATTGACTTGATCGTTAAATAATCCAACTAAGAGCTATGCAGTAAGTGCTAGCAATGGGCGTGCAGAGACCACTGGGCTTGTCCCTAGCTTAGACCAGGTAGATGGAGGTGTTGAAGTATCCTTTGCTTTTTCCTGAACACAGAGCTGGGCTGCCTGAAATTCTCTCCCTGACAGCAAGGAATCATCCACCTGTAGGATAGAAACCCCAGCGATGCGTTTACTATCAACCCAGTGAAACATACACCTTAGTGGGAAGCCTTTTCATCTGGACTACTGATAGGGAACAATGAATACATTAATATATTAAGGCATCACGTTTAGAGCTTGTTTGCTATGAGGAGTCAAAGAACAATGCAGACGCCAACAACTTTTGG